GGGGGGGGGGGGGGGGGGGGGAGAAAGAAAATCAAGCCTTGGATTATTCTGAAATTTGATGAAAGATGCAATGCCTTCTCATAACACCCATTCAGTAACAAAGGCCAAAAATGGAATCTAAATATAAAACTGTTTTTGTGCTTATCACGCTGAAATTAAGAAAACAATAGCTTAAAACCCCGCAAGCAAATAGGCAAAAGCCTACTTTTAATCCCTCACTTTGTCAAGTTTAAAGGTTTTAACCCTTCACCTTATACTATGACATTTTTAGTCCTCTACCTTAATAGATTTGTAAGTTTTAACCTATCACCTTATACTCCGACACTTTTAGCCCTTCACCTATTAAAATTGAAGAAAATAGCTCTCACTTTGAAATGTTTTGTTAGTTCTGTTAACTGACTGTTAATTAACTATTAGTTGTTAAAATTTTTTTTTCAACTAATAGAGTTAATAGAATTAACTTTATAATATTTCATTAATTCTGTTAATTGATAATTAGTTGACTGTTAGTTGATAAAAATCTACTTTTAGCTAACAAAGTTAACAATCAGTATAATGTGAGGGTTATTTTCTTCGATTTTAATAGGTGAGGGACTAAAACTTATAAATCTAATAAGGTGAGGGGTTAACATGTCATAATATATAGTAATGAGCTAAAACCTTCAAACTTGATAAGATGAGGGGTTAAAAGTAGGTTTTTACCAAGCAAATATAGCACAAATAATAGATGGGACACACTCTTTATTGACTTTTTTTTCCTTGTTATTATCAAATTAGATTTGTTGTACCAAAAAAATAAAAATAGATTTCTTATTTTAATTTTTTCACTTACCATTTAAATAGACAGAACAGATGTGTGGGGCAAACTGCAAAGAAAATAAAATAAAAGAGAAACAGACCGGCCAACTTGACCCAATAATTCTACCTCGAACTTAAAAAGTTGAAAACGCTTTATAATATATTTGGGATTTAAGGAATGGAGTGAGAAGAAGAGTGAATTTTTTATTTAATTGTTAAAAAGATTAAAAAAGAGAAACGGAGAGAGAAGAGAGAAGCCATTTGTTTTATTTTTTTAAAAATTTAATTATTTATTTAAATAATTAAAAAAAAAGGAGAGAAATAGAAGAATATAATATTCTTCTATTCTCTTTTCTCTCAACTAAAAATTACTAAAAGAGTT